TAAATTATCCCAAATATCAACCAGATTTTTCAGAACAACCTGGTCCACCATTCAGATGTCTAAATGGATTTTTGGAAATGCTCCATACCCAGTAGCTCCAATCACATTGATGCCCCAAAGGCAGCTGCTGAGTGCTGAGCCCTCTTGAAAGCCCAGTCTATAAATTCTGTGGGAAGATAATCACAGTGTGGATTTGTGGAAGTCCTGTTCCCTCTTGCTTAATCCCTCACACAGCTGGGCTGTGCTGTGTCCCAGCCAGCCATGTACCACAAAGCTGGATATTACTAGAAGGTTCACAAAAACTACTGAATTGCAGTTCTAACTTTTCTTTTGTCTTCCTGACTGAGCTGTGGTTTCTCTCCAAAAATAATGCAGGTTTTGGAAGGACTGTAGGCTACCTTGAAACGTTCCCTCACAATGCAGGCAGTGTTACCCGTGGGCTGCTTCTATATCCTGAATGTATGGAATACTTTGTTGGTCTTAAGGGGGATTTTTACTTTGGGTTTTTGTGTGCATGTGTGCTATTTCTAGGTTTCTCTTGCACCTTTCCATATGTATCAATTTCCATTTCCTACAGAAGAATCACAACCCAAACAATACCTTCCTGTTTTAGTTATTGTTCTCATATTACTGGATGAAGGGTCTGGTATGAACGACTTGTAGTGTGAACTGCAAAGTAGTAAAGCAGTACCAGCGTGCTGAAATTCTCTGCTGAACAAGTGATCAAGTGGCATTGGAGTGGTTGGTAAAAGCAGGGGAGGCAGATCAAAGGAAAGAATGAAAATTGATCCAAAATTTTCAGAGAGTGTCCGTGCTTTATGCTAAAACTTTCTCTAAGCGTATCCAGCACTTCTAGCTTGGAAATCTCCCAGAGAAGGGTTTTCTTGTGAGCTTTTTAGTGCTTGCTACGTTCAGTAATTGTGCAAACAGTCTCTCTTGAGACTAGCTCTTGGCTGTCTAGTAGATAGGCAGCCATCCAGATCTAAAATTTAAACTGTCTCCTTCTTCTGCCTACTGTACTGGACTTATTTGGAGGGAATGCTTGGCTTTTGCCCTGCGCATGACATACATGCCAGGTCCCTAACACTACTTTGCTTGTTCCTTGTGAACCAGAACTGCAGCCTTATTAGCAGTTTCCCAGTGTCTTGCTATCAGGCTCCTGGAGTATCAGGCTTGGATGTGGCATTTGGTGCTCCAGGAGATGGCATGAAGGTCCACAGAGCCTCTGTTGTTGGCGATAAGGAATCGTTCTATTCCCTGTTAGCCATTTACAGGCTACAGATAAAAGGGGAAAAAAAGAAGTAATTACTTTGAGGCCTGACATAATTTATAGTGCTGTCTTTGTCAGATGATGTTGTTCTGTTATATATAATCATTAAATTATTAATCTGCAAGAGCTGTTGCACCTTTCAGCTGCCTTGGGTTAGTGGGAACCAGGATGGATGAGGCATGGACTTCATTATGCCTCACTGCTCACCTCGAGAGGAGAGGGTGTGCTACATCCTTTGTGGTTACCACCTCACATTTGAGGAAAAAAGCTGCCTTTGCTGAGCTTTTAGTGCTGAAAATTGAATCAGTGTTTATGTGTGCTGGGTTTAAGGGGAGGAAGGGGGAGGGACTGCAGCACCTCTCCTCTGCTTGCTCTCCGCAAAGCAGAAAAGGGCAGAAATGTTATTTTCCTTTGCAGTGTATTCAGCCTGGTTTCAAGCTGTCACAGAACTGGGTGGAGGCATTTTCCCCTTTAGGTCTAGATTAGAAAAGAAAGAAAATCAAAAGGTGACAAAGGATTGGTAACTTCATTGAATATGCCACAAAGGGAACCTGGAAGGCTTGGTGTCATCCAAAGGGTGCTGGGTCTTAGAGGTTTCAGCAGCATGAGGTTAGCTCAGGAACTGCTGCTCTGGGGACAGATGTCAGATATGCTTCAAGTGCCACGGTTGTTATTGGGGTGAGGGCGGGACCATGCAAGCAGCATTTTTATGAACACAAGCCTGTGGTGGGTTCTGTGGCTGTGCTCCGGGGCGAGGGAAATGAGCAGCCAGTGAACAAGGAAAGGGTGGAGGTGTCTTCTGTCTGTGAGCTTCAGGCTGGGCAAGTCTCGTTGCCTTATGCAGCAACAAAAAGGAACTTGAAGGGTTCGTGAGATGGTCCTTCAGATGGAGACAGGCAGGAGGCAACAAGAGGGGGGAAAAAGGAAATTTTTAGTTTCATTTTGCAATCAAAGAACATGTGATTTCCTCTGATGGCTTGAACTGTGCATAAAAGACTCCAAATGCCTGGTTTTGTTCACAAGGGAAGAATTCCACTTTATTAATATTATTTTTAAATCCCTTATTAAACATATGCAAATGATTTGGTTGGAACAGCAGTATTTGGGAGGGGACTTGTTTTAGCAGATGTGTTGATTTGCTGGATTTTTTCTCTCATTAGTGGGCTCCCTCAGACACATAGGTTTTATTGTATGCTTTCTTTAAAGGGTGACTGATAGGGTTGAATGATGTATTCAGGCTCTTCCTCCCCCAGCTTCCCTCCTGCTTTTTACAGCAGCTCACAGAATATCCTATAGCACAGGCATTCACTGTTTCAAAATGGTGCTCGTGCCAAAAACTGCTCAGATCTGGAGCTAGAAATCACCAGAAGTGAGAGCAAAAGTTACTGTAAACTCTAGGTGTGAAGGTTTGTGTCTGTGAACTGAAGCTGCGATGTTGAAAACGCTGCTCTGTAAATGTTGACTCTGATTGTGGAAGGCGGTGGCACATGCTGATAGCAGAAAACTGAGCAATAATCTGGGTGTTTTACTTTGTCTTTAAAGTGAATTTTCTGGCTTGACTTCCTTAAATATTGATTTTTATAGTGTGGACCTGTAGCACTGAGCTCCTTAGCTGTGGCTGGGCGCTGCCAGTGTGCCCTGAGCCCGCGGTACCGAGCGGCACAGAAGGGAGCGAGCTGGCAGCTGCCACAAAGTGATGGCCATGAGACCGGACTCTCCAGGACAGGGGAAGCACCAAGCTTCTCCCAGAGCTTCTGGAGGTCTGCCACGGGCAGAGCAGGTCCTGCAGCCCTGGCTGGCTCCCCAGGAAGGCTGCACACCCCAGCATCCAGACCCGGCACTTAGGATTTGTGGCTCAGCAGCCGATTTTCTGCTGGGGCTTTTAGTGCAAGCCACGCCGAGGTTTCATTGCCTGTAAAACGGGGGAATTTTATTTATCCACCTGCCACGTGTCCGAGTGCTTGTGGAGTGCTTTGAGAGTAGGCCCTGGCTTTGTGTGAGCTGTTAGCATGGGTGAGTTCCCAGAGCTGCAGATGTGTTCTGCATCCGTGGTGACTTGGTGTTGATTATAAGTGAAAAATCTCCTAACAATGGGTTGTAAATTCAGAGTTGGCTGTCAAACGTTTTATGCACCGCTGTTGTTGCTGCTGTGTGACGCTGTTACACTTTCTTTGCAAACCAGCCTAGGCAAAACCTTGTTTAATCCTGGTTCTTCCTCTTTTTAATCCACGCAGTGAAGGGATCGTGCAGGTAACTGATTTTCCCTAAGATTTTAGGATCTTTTTGCTGAGCTGTGTAATGATCATACATGCCACAGCTACACGTGCAGCTTTGTCGTGGACATAATTCAGAATTTTTTTCTTATGTGTCTCAGCCTCAACCTATTTTTCATGTTGTTTTCCCTCTCTTTTTTATACATTTGCATTAAGTAAGACATTCAGTGCTTGCAGTGCCACTTTTCTTAGAAGTAACATTAATGGATCACTCTTGCTTCTTACTATATCTCATGCAGAACTTCTTGCATTTTACTATTTGTTTTTTTCCTTCTGAGTCGTCATTTAAATACATAGCAATGTAATACAATTTGTAGTGCTCTTTATCATGCAAATCTCCCAAGGCACCTTAGAATAAAATCAATAAAATCAAAAATAAAATCAACTTCGTTCAGCCATGTGTTGAATTAATTAATTGTTTTTAAAGCAGAGCCAGGGGAAAAAGGCTTTTTTCACTTTCAGTATCTTTTGCTCGTCAGCTTTGTACTTCACCCATTGTATTCATGCAGCAGTCAGTGGCAACACGTTGATGATACTTTCTTGTAGATGGTAGTAATGTTGATCGTGCTCCTGCTCCCAGACCAGCTTTGATTCTGGAGAGGCTGCTTGCTATTTTATCAGATAGCGAGGAGGAAAAGCTTATGCTGAAATCGGTTGACTGTTTGATATCATTGGGGGGAGGAAAGGAAGCCATCAAATTAACTCATAAAAGCTTTATTTACGATGAATGGACTTTTTTTCCCTGTCTGTCGTTATCATCTTGTCTGTAACCCAGTGACCCTGATTATCATGAAGCTGTTTACAAGGTTTAGGTTAATTGGATTTCTTTAACTGTTTCCCAGAGCTGTGAGGAGCACAAATACACTGCTGTGGAGTTCAGACAGCATAGTGCAACCCAGTCTGCAAGGATACGGGCTTCTTCCAAGAGGAAGTCGTTTTATTTCATACTCAACTAAGTGCATAGCAGCATGTACCTATCATTTGGCATAATATTAAACAACACCCTCCTTCATACAGATGTGTTCAGTTGCAACTTGTGTTTCCAATACACAAATTACATTTTGCATGTTCAGCAAGAATTGAGCTTATTTTCAGTGAGAGAGCCTTTGAAATGTGTTTTGGTTGTTTTTTATTTTCCTTCAGCTTGATAGCAGTTTCACTGGTTTTGTTTTTATATGAGGAATCATGGATAAAATAGCTGTGCATTGCATGGCTGCCTAAATAAACGAGACAGGAGGATGTAGTTGGGTGAGATCAGGACAGTCCTCTTGCTTGGCTTTCATCTCCTCAGGATGCATGCTCGTTCTTTAATGGCACAACATTGCACCCTCCAGGTGCAATGCGCAACTGCAGGTCTCCAGATAACCCACTTGTTTTATGAGCTGTGTTTTTGTGAGCAAGCCTTCCGAATTTCTCCTTCAGGATTATTCACCCTCTCTTTCTCTTTCCTTTTTCAGGCTTCTGTAGGCTCTGAGAAGCTGTTCTCTCCTGCAGCAAATAAAGGTAAGTGATCTGGAGAAATGCCTTCCTTATCTTACACCAAGAGATTTGGGTTGTGAATCCGTATCGTGTGAATAGCAGGACATCAGTTTTGCCAGAGCCTGTAGCTTGGCCACACACATTGTCATAAAGATCAGCTTTACAGGCTTGTGATGATCTAAGTTAAAATTTAGAGCTGCATTGTCTCAGTGTGGGGTGGGACTTCTTCCCTTCCAGTAAGATTTGTATTAAGTGTCTTGGAGAGAGGGATTACTGACAAAGGAGAAGTCAGTCTTTACTGTAGGGGATATGCTTCTCTCTCTAATACAATCAAATCCTCATTTATTTTAAAGAAATCAGTATTTCAGTGCTGTCTGTGTCATCCTGACAAGGGCTTGCACATCCCTTCCCTGCCAGTGCCCACGGAGCGTTTGTGTCTGTACATCTGGGTTCTCCAGGACACGGCGGAGGGTGCTGGGCACGGCGCAGCTCCGCTCCTGCTGTTGGTGACAGTTACCTGTGATAGGCACTGGGTGTTGCTAAGAGACTGCCTCGCTCCACATCCCCTTGGGGGGCACAGCCACAGAGCTCTAAATGCGCCAAGCCCTCCTCTGAGGGCTCGGCACTGCCATAAAACAGGGCTGCTCTGCTTTCCTGTGTTCCCAGGGATAATCTCACCGAGATGGATCCTGGGCAGAAATGCCAGAGAAGCAGCTTTGGAGAGGGCAGACTGTGGTACATGGTGGAAAGCATTGTGCTGGGAATGGTTCCACCTTGCCACGCAAGGAGGTTTGAGTGGCTCCAAATTAATTGCTACGGCTTGTGGCTGTCTGCAGCATGCTCTGCATTGAGCTGCAAAATAAAATCAGTTCACGGCAGTAGTGGGTGTTAGGGGCATGCAAATACCCCAAAGAGGGAAGATAAGGCCCATCAATAAGAAATGAGAAATAACCTTCTTGCATTTTTTCAGTGGGGCCAGGAAAGGAACAATTTGCAGTTGTGTAGGAGTAGGTGCTGGACATGGAAAGGCATTTTGGTGGTTGTGTGCTCCATCACCTGGATCAAGGCCCAGTTTTTAGCTGGGCTCTTCAGCAGCAGTAACTATTAGGAATTCTCTTTCTTTCCAAGCTTTGCAGATTTTCAATGCCAAATGTGGAAACCGATGACAAGCCCATTATGTTATTACATTTGTAGATATTTTTACAAAAGTATGCAGCTTTATCTGGGGGAAAGAGGGAAATTTAAACAAATGGTGGGGAAGAACATTTCTCTTCTCTCACTTGGCTCGCTGATAAGGCAAACCAGATTGCCCATACGGCACTGCCTCGGCAAAACAAAAATCTTGCCATCCTGCATAATGCCTGGCACAGAGATCTGCTGGAGAGGCTTATGTTGAAGCGTTAGCAGCTTTGTTGGCTCCTCCTTGTGCTGAAACCCAAGATCCCCCACCCCTTCATATCATGGAGCAGCTCAGCAACATGAGTTTTCAAAATACCTCCCTATCAGGAAGTTAAATGTGCGAATGCCTGTGAATTTGCTGTCTTGAAGTTTGTGTTCAGTGCTGTTTATATCCCTGCAATTTCAGCCTGTTCCTGTTTGCTTTAATGTGGGTGTAGACACTGCCAGCTTTGGGTTCAGATCATGGGTTTTGTCTCAGACTTCTCTTTTACCCTGGCCCTGTACTGATGTACCTCGCTGATGGCATGGGGTCGTGGGCAGGCTCTCCTGGGGTCACCTCAGCGTTTGGCACTTGGCTTGAGAGGTGAGAGAAATTCGCCTCGGCAAAGATTTTGTGTAGAAACCCAAACAGTGCTAAATTTTACCCCTCGCCCTGTTATCACTCCCGCAATGCAAGAGCCAGATTTGTCTCTTGCACATGCAAATGAACGCCGCTCCTACACGACCAGGCTCGGGGATGCCATATGGCCGGGAGAAAGTGACTTTCAAAGCATTGCACTTAAATTCCTTTTGTGAGATAAGAGCGTTGATTTAAGGCCGCGTTCTCCGGGGCTGGAGGCCTGGTGGCTCTGTGGGGAGGGGATTAGCTCAGCACAGTTTCCTGGTGGGCACACGCATGGCGCGGCACGTGCTCGTCCTCTCCCGTGGGCATTTGCACTGTGCCCTTCTTTTGTAAACACTGGCGGCCTTTCTGGGGAGATATTAGCTAGCAAACGTGCAGCATCCGTGCTGCAGCTTTCATTGAAGGTAACCAGGCTTCCAAAACACATAAAGCGGATTCATTGTCTGGTGCGACTCCCCGTGTTCCCAGTTCATTGTTCGGCGCAACTCCCTCTGTTCCCACAAACTTTCCCCGGGGATGTGTTGGCCCTGTGTATGTGTTTTATGCTGTCCTAGTTTATCAGCAGCTTAGCAATGCAATTAAGTATTGAGATAGGGCGGGTTACGCTTATTTGAGGCTGCAACAGCTGTAAAATGTAACCTTTGACCGCATTTGAGAGCTGCACAAAAGGCCGAGGAGCAGGCCTTTTGTCTGGGGCTCTCTGGGTAAGGTTTGCCTCTGCCCCTTGCCGGCAGGGCCGCGGTGGTGGCCGTGCTCCTCCTCCTCACACCGCTCATCTGCAGCGGCAGATGCACGGCGTGCATGTCCACTTCGGGGACCAGGCACTATTATGCTGCAGAGAGAGGTGTCCTGACCCGGGGCGACCTCAGTAGTCACAGCTGTGAAATAGGCTGAATGGGGCACTTTGAGCTTCCAGCAGAAGAGGAGATTAAATCCTCTGTGCGAGGAAATAATAATTAAAAGTAAAAGCGGAGAAGACCTGATCTGCTCTGCTGACAGTCTTTGTTTTCTGACGCAGAAAAGTGTTTGTTTGGCCAACTTGTCACTGCAGTACAGAGTTACAAGGGCATTTGCTGCCGAGGGCCCAGTGTTACATCCTCCTGGAGAATAAATCAATAAACAAATAATAAAGGTCTGTTTGCTCTCTCATGCAGCTCCTTTCTCACAGGAATCTGCCAGCCAGCCCTTCCTTTTTCTGAAGGGTGAGTACTAGGAAAGGCAGGGGAAGTTTAGGCGAAAGTCAGATCTGTCCCTGTGTCTCCAGATCGGAGCATGAAGCGCAGGCATAGCAGAGATAGGAAGGCAAATGAGTTGTGGGGCTAAGGAGGTGAGAGGGACAGTCACCCCTAAGTCACTGCAAGGACCTCCTCCTGCCTGCTCTAGTATTTTGAAGTGTGTGTGGGGTAGGATAGTTTGTATTTTCTGGACTTGAGCCTTGGGTTCTCGCTGCTGGCTCCCTCCAGTTGTGGCTTCCCTTGTGGGTCTGGCTGGAGGCAGTTGAGTTTTCTCACACCAGTCCTTGCTCCAGAGCTGCTGCATGCCAGGAAGAGCAGGGAGGTGCTGCCTTTTGTACCACAGTAGCCTTGTGGCTGCAGCCCAGGTGAGCTGCTGAGTCCCCAGTGTTAGAAACCAAGGCCACAGTGGCAGTGAGGGTGAAATGGAGTCTTAAAGGAGCTTTTTCTCTTGCTTGGTTTGATAGGTCCAAGGCCCCAGGGAAGAAAACCTCCATCGAAAAGTGGAGCCTGGGCAGCAGCCAGGTTTTCTCCATTCATAACCTCAGGCAGGCTGTGGGTGGGGAGGTGCCTGTGAAATGAAAGAGGTGTCCAGGAGCCCCCAGGGCATGAGATGCCCATGGAGGAGCCAGACCTGCACAGCCTAGTCTGCCTTGCAGCCCCGGGAGGCACTGGGCAGCAATGGGGGAAAAAGAGCTTTGAAGTCTGTTGAAGGCAGTATATTGCTCCTGTCTTTGGATCAGAATCAAGCTGGGCATGGAGGGAGCAGTGTAATCCATCTGTCTGGTGGCACAGAGTGGCTGGCCAGGACCCAGCCCTGCCCTGGCTCTTGGGGGCTCGCTGAGCTCCATGCCTCAATTTCCCCCTCCTGCAAAATGAAGACGAATGCTTGTCAGCCAAGTGCGCTCAGAGACTTAATTAATGAATGTTTGTCAAGCGATTTATCAAGAGATCCTTTTAATGAGAGATTCCATAAACAGTGCAAGGCTTCATTTTCATGGCAATAATAAATGACAGTGAAAGTAAGTCTTATCCTTCCCCCGCATATGCACCCCCCCAGGAAAAAAGATTGCTTACCCTCCGCTCTTACTTCTCCCTGGGTTTCCAGGCAGAGGGCTTTGAAGTGCTATCTTTCATCATGAACTGTACACATCCTCAAAGCTCTAAAGCTCACAGCCTGTGTCTTATCCCTCTGACAAGAGGGAGGCAAGCTTTCTCGGCATGCAGGTCATAATTGTCAGCCATGGGATGTGCCGAAGCCACCCGCCCCAGCGGGCTAATGCAGCTTATGCTTCTTTGAAGTTCCCTCCCTTTATTTTCTGTCCTCTTGACCACAAAACAGTGCCTTGGGCCAGCAAGAGAGATTTCTTGTTCAGAGACGACACTGAGCTCTGACAAGCACATCTGAACCAGAGAAGAACCCTTGTTCCTCTGAGATCACTGCTCCATAATGTTGTTGCCTTAAGGGGACTGTCTCTCCTTTTTCTCTCTGCTTCTTCTCTTCCTTTTTCTTATTCTTTTTTTTTTCTTTAATTCAGCACTAAACTGTCACACTAAATCATTTTAAAAGCTGGAACTACAAAACCTCCAGTGTAGGACATGCTGTTAAAAACTGATGGTTATTACAGTGAGATGGGGTGAGAGGGGAAAGGAGGGGCATGGGCAGGATGGGAGAGCAGCAAGTCAGCTCTCCAGGAGGAACCTGTGAGTGCCCGGTGAAGCAGAAAACAACCTGAATGCAGCTGAGCTCAGAATACCGTGCTTGGCACAGGTTTGCAGCAGCAGCACAGCTCCATGGATGCTCAGCACTGACAGGGGAATCAGGAGCCCAGTGTCTCCCGGGCTTGCCATGCTGCCTGCGTGCCTTGGTCCTGTCCCTCGGCGCTCTGTCTCCAGTTGTCAGGGTCACAGACTCCCTGTCTGGGCTGGGACAGCATCTCCTGTAATCAAGCCCACCTCTCCTTCAGGGCTTTACTTTACTGTGCAAGGAG